ACACCCATTTATGGAACCAAACCCAACACATAACCCCATTCATGACACCCCAGAACCTATCAACTCAATTCACTTACCAAATTTTAGCACCTTAATGACCCCTCCATCAGATAATCAACACACAGAAACTCCCTCATCACAATTCCACCTGGAACAGAATACGAAGACCTCACATTCTCCACCACCGCCTCCTTTACGTCATTCAGAACGACTCACCAAACCTCTATCCAAATTCCAAGACTTCCAAATATACCATGGTGCTCTTCTCATTCCCAGGCCAGTCCCCTCTACCACGGTCCACACACAGTGTCCATTGCAATGGTATGTCTCATATTCCTCTCTCTCCAATTGTCATCAGAAATTTCTCATTTGGTCAAACCAGCATCTTATAAGTAGGCCTGATCCGATCCTAAATGGGTTGATGCTATGCAAACTGAAATCCGAGCATTTGAGGAAAACAATACATGGACCATGGTGCCTCTACCTGCTGGTCACCGTCACATTGGTTGCAAGTGGATCTACAAAATCAATTATCACTCTGATGGCTCTCTTGAATGGTATAAAGCCTGGCTTGTTGCCAAGGGTTTTACACAACATGAGGGCATAGATTACAAGAAAACCTTTGATCCTGTTGACAAATGCATTACTTTCAGTTGCTTCCTAGTCGTTGTTGCTATTCAAAATTGGCATCTTCCCTACCAAATGGATGTCCAAATGTCCGAAATTGGCCTCTTAGTCATTACCGTGGTGATTTGCTTGAGGAAGTCTATATGCAACCTCCACCCAGCATTAGTCATAGGGGAAGAATAATGTGTGTCAACTCAACAAGTCCTTATATGGATTGAAGCAGGCATCTCGTAGCTGGTTTCACAAGTTCTCTTCATCCATTGCTAACATTGGGTTCAAACAGTCGAAAGCCGATTGTTCCTTGTTTGTGAAGGTAGAAAACACATCTTATATTGCTATTTTGCTTTATGTTGATGATATGATCATTGCAGGGAATGATGAGGTAGCTATATGTGATCTTAAATGTTATCTCAACACCTACTTCAAAATCAAAGACCTCTGACCATTGAAATACTTTCTAGGAGTTGAGGTTGCACAATCCAAGTCAAGCATCACCATTTGTCAAAGAAAATACACTCTAGATCTACTGGAAGAGGCAGACTTACTTGGTGCCAAACCTACAAAATTTTCAATGGAGCAGACCTTGAAACTTAATCCAATGGATGGTGATACTCTCCATGATCCAACGTGATATCCCCGACTTGTTGGGAAGTTGATTTATCTAACAATCACATGATTGGAAATCCCATACTCAGTTGTTACTCTCAGTCAGTCCATGCGACTTCCAAGAAAACCTCACCTTGATGTAGTTTTTCATCTCCTTCGTTACTTAAAGAATGCACCAGGTCAAGGCCTCCTTTTTCCCGCACATAGTTCGTTAAAACTCACGGCTTATTGTGATGCTGATTAGGCTGGTTTTCAGGCTACAAGAAGGTCAGTTACAGGTTATTGTGTGTTCTTGGGAAATTCCTTGATTTCTTAGAAAAGCAAAAAGCAATCCACCGTGTCACGGTCATCTGCCGAAGCAGAATATATAGCAATGGCAGTCGTCACTTGTGAACTTACTTGGCTGAGATATCTTTTAAGTGACTTGCGTGTTGAACACCCTCAACCAGTCAAACTATTTTGTGATAACCAAGTGGCAATTCACATTGTAGCGAATCCAATATTCCTCGAGCGTACAAAGCACATAGAATTGGATTGTCATACCATTCGAGAGAAGATACAAAGAGAAAAGGATAGAACCACACATGTTCACACCAGAATGCAAATTGCAGACATTTTTACAAAACCATTGGGACAGGCCACTTTCCATATAGACATCCACGCTTCAACTTGAGGGGGGTATTAATGGATACAAATATGTTAATTCTGTCAATTGATAGATTAAAGGAATTAGACAAATTATAGGAGACTGATTGTATTTTACTAATTCCATTTTCCTAGAATAGATACAAATCATAAGTATATGACCCATTGTAATATTACTTCTTGAAATACATCAATATACATTAACATTTTCCATCCCGTAGATTCATCATCCATTCACCATTTTTACAATGTTTGAGCCAATTTTTTAAATTTTTTTTTTTTTGCAATAAATACATTTTTGAATATTATTTGATGGAGAATGTGTAGGTATGGCAAAAAAGTTAGTTGGCTCGGTCTGAAAAAAGTCTGAGTCGAGCTCGACTCAGGCTCGGGCTAGAACCCAGCCCCATTTTGGAGCGTCGCCGGAGCCCTGGCCGACCCGTGTGGCTTGTCGAGCCACACAGCCCGGCCCGTATGAGTTGCCGCTTAAAAAAAAAAACTATATTTAGCTTCCTGTCAGTTGTAGATTTGACAGGAAAAAAAAAACCTAGTCGGCTCGGCCCGCTAAGGCTCGAGCCGAAAGCTCGGGCCGAGCCTATTATTTTTGGCTGAGCTTTTGCTCGGCTTGGCTCGGGCCAAAAACAGCTCTTGGCTTAGCCCTTTTTGGCTCGAGCCGAGCCTGAGCTTTGAGTTTTGGCTCGGCTGGCTCGTTGCCATGACTAAGAATGTGTGGTTAAAAAATAAGGAAAAAATTTGGATTTGTGTGTAATATTATTTTATTGAAGATTGTGTGGTTGAAAATAGAAAAGAAAAATGTATTTTGGAAATAGTGGGGACCAAACAATAGCTTAATGAAAAACTTAAACTTTGTTATTTACCTATTGAAAAGTATTGTATTTTTATAGGTGGAATTATTATCTGTAATGTATAAGCATTTATTTATTTGTTAAATTTCATTTCAAACAATTATGAAAAAATATTATAAACGAAAATCTACATTTTCAAGTGAAGAGTAAATTATTGGTAAAACGAGTGTTCAAGAGAGAAAAGATATTTGGGAAAAAAATTTATAACTTACTTTTGACTCCATATCAAAGATCATGTGGCTCCATCTGGGGGTGTCCAAAAGTCTCGAACCGAATCGGAAAGAACCGAACCGAATCGAGCGGTTCTTCATAAATTAAATATCGGAACGGGTACCCGAATCGAGAACCAATGGGTTTGGGTCGGATCTCG